CGCCTCCTGCCACATACCTCCCAATAACCAACAAGATTCCACAGGTTGGGCCTCCTCTGGGTGCCGTTGGCCGGACAATGCCGGCTGGTGGCCCCCCAGGGGAGGGCCTTCTCTGTAACTGCGCCGGCCCTGTGGAACAATCTACCCATAGAGATCGGGACCCTTACGACTCTCCCAGCCTTCCGAAAAGCCACCAAGACCTGGCTGTTCTGGCAGGCCTGGGGCTGTTGATCAATGTCCAGCCTCACTCAAACAGAATGGATGGTGTGCAATTTTAACAATTGTATTTTTACCATCAAATCTTTTACCTTTAATTTTTAAATGCTTTTTATCTTGTCTGTAAGCCGCCCAGAGTCCCAAGGGAGTGGGCGACATACAAATTTTATTAAATTTCAAATTTCTATTTTTAAAAAAAGTGTGTGTCTGTGTGTGTGTGTGTGTGTGTAATACAATGTTGAAACTGTCAGTCACTAAGAGTCAATTCAGTCTTCAGGTTCTCCTGGGATGCTGAAGACCCTCTTTTTTTTCAAGCTATTATCCAATTTTAATTGGAAGTACTATATAGCCCCATGATGGAGAACCAATGGCATGTGTGCTAGAGGCGTCATGCAGAGCCCTCTCTGCTTTCACTTGCACCGTCACCCCAGGTCAGATCTCCGTGGTGTTTCTTTCGTGAGCTTCTGTTTCCCTGCAAATGACGAAACAGAAGCTCACAAAAGAAAAAGATCTTACCTCTCTCCATGCTGCCGGTGTTGGGATGCCCTGCCTCCTGCCAGCTAGCTGGTCTTCGGGTCTCTGCTGCACATGTGCGCATGACCATGCATATCTGCATTCACACACACACCTTTCAGTTTGGGCATGCACGCATGCATGCACAGTTTGGGCACTCGATGTTTAAAAAGGTTTGCCATCACTGCTATAGCCAGAGACTCAAGATGTGTTGGTCTATAGATCCAACAGTCAGCATGGTAGGCAGGAGCTCTGCATAATGGTAGTATTTATTTTCTGACTCTTCCTTCATACCTTAAGCACCACACAAATAACACTGTCTAGGTGGAGAAGATGTATCTGACCAGAATGACCTTGAAAAGCTGAAGAAAGTCACATGTAGATAATATTTAGATATGAGACAACCAGGAATCGGGAAGTTAAAAAACATCTTAGAAGAAAGCAGTGGAAAAATATTTAATATTGGCAATAAAACTATATGGATGCTTACTGAATCCTGACCCAGTTAAAAGGACACCTGAATACAGAGTGATTAAATAGCAACTGAAGAAGTGCCCATGGGGTGAGAGGCAAGTACAGGAGCGTTTCCCTCCTGGTCTGGAATATGGAGCAAGTCTCCATTGCCCTTACTCTTCTCAGGCCACACGAGGAGAGACTGGGAGGGGAGGGCGAGGGGTAGGGCCAGCCAGCCAACAGGGAGCCACAGCAGGGGGACAAAAGAGCTGCATGCGGCTTGGGAGCCACACGTTATCAACACCCGGATTAGATGATCCTTCCCTGTGTGACCATACATGAAAGTAATGGACTTTAAATTCAAAAGGACAGGAATAAGATGGCCAACTAGTTATTTAGTTGGGCCTCTACTAAGGATGGCTGAAGTTCCCAATCGAACCTCATTAGATTTTTTGAAAGAAATATATTACCAGTGGTCATATTGATAATATCTAAAAAGTCATCTCTGGACCTCTCAGTACTAGATAATTTTTGCTCAGTATCCAAAAGTCATGTACTGGAAATGAAAGATTATATGTACATATTTTGATTTTTAATAATAATTGTACTGAAGATTGCAGTAGTACAATAAAAATTAATAAAAACTACAAAAACAAAATAAAATGAAAAAAATGAAATTTACATAGAGAGAAAAAGAAAAAAAATAGAACAGAAAAGAGTAAAATATAACAGTGAAAGTATAATAAAAAAGAAAAGAAATATAGTATATAAAGAAAGACTTCCCCATCACAACAGTATAAACAATTTTAAGAACTTATCATCTTCTCTTAAAATACGGCAGATAATCTCTTCATTCCATATCTTATCAGATCCTTCAAACCTCCTCATTAAGTCTTGATCAGCAAAAATCCATGGTTATCAGAAATAACAAGATATCAGTTTTAACCTTGATCAAATAAATTCACTTTATATTCCTTTCTTTTATCTTTAACAGTCTTGCTCTTTAATCCCTTCAAATCATGTCCTAGACTTTGTTTATGTTTCATTTTTTTCTTTGTCCCTTCTCACAAATCCTTCAGAACTTTTAAAAGTGTCTTCTGTAAATCCAGTACAGGAGAGTCATCCCTATCATTCTTTTGGTTTGCGTTTTGTGTATCCCTTGTAATTATTAATACATTAGCTGGTTTCATTTGCAAATCCAGTATAGTATCTTTTTCCAAATTATTCTTACAGCTTATCATTTTTGAATCCACTTTCAGATTGGTCTCAATCTTGTTCAGTAAAACTTGTTCCTCTTCCATAACATCCTGTAAACATAGTTTATCTATAGAGGTAGATATTCCTAAAATTAATTTCTGGGTCCAGTATTCAAACATATCCTCCAACACATCCAATATTAAAGTATTTTGCTCCATTCTGTGTAAGATACATTAAATATTCTTCCTCTTTAATTGTAATATTTTTTCCTTTTGATTTCTTGGTTTCTTGTAGTGTCCTAAAATCAAATTGTTCTATCATGTCTTCTTTAAAGATGTCAAAACAACAGCCTTTTCCCACATTATCCAGAGAGTTTGGCTGGCCAGAAAACCCATATTTGGTCACCAACTTCACCGCAATGCTGTCTCTACTCCTTTAGAGATATGTAATTTGCCATGTCCCCACCGGAAGTCCTCAGTACGTACAAAAGTTGAATGAGTGTAAGTCTCAATTGCACAGTCAATATATAAAACTAGATTTCAGCAGCCTGCAAGCTTTTGCTCACTAGCTTCTTTCAGGACACTGTGAAGTTAGAATTTCTATAGAAACATTCTTAAAAGCTCTATTACCAACTGGCAGTTTCTGGAACAGAACTAGGTATATGTGGCTATATGTGTATCATGCATACCTTATTACTTTCTTTTTAAAATTGGTGCTGCTAAAATGAAATTCAAATCAAGTCTCTTGAGACAGGTTTTTAGTTATGTCTTGTTCACCATGTTAACCTACAATCCTGTCTAACAAGAAAGTTTTAAAACCCACCTGATTATCAGTGCTTCCATTAGGAAATCCATCTCATCCTGCTCTGAGGAGATTTCTGGCAATGTCTGTTGAAATGAAAATGAAAAACATGAATCCATTGCAAAGGAAGATTACCATTAGGAGAAAATGGGAAGGCAGAATTCTTGTTTATTAAGACAACATGTTGGTTGTGCTTGTTACACTACTTCTCACCCTGGAAACTAACAAAATTGAAACCCAACTGAAACCCAATGGTTTGAATAAACCATGTAAAACAAATCCTGAAAACATGGTTATAGAATTGATGTCAACTAAATGCCTCTGATATGCAAGATACAACACAGAGAGATGCTCATTATCTGCCACCATTTACCTTCCAATTCAAAGCACAGCGGTACAAATATAGGAGATTGTTTGAGTAATTAAAGGGGAAAAATAGAGTTGAGTGGGAATAGAGAGGATCTTTTGGTGATGCCATCTGGTTTAGAAATGTCCTCTTTAAACAATTCATTGGCATTACTTTTTATATATTTTTGATGTCAGGCTAAGTATGCCCTGCTTATCCATACTTTTTCAAACACATTCATCAGTTTCAATTGCTTCTATTCCTTTAACTATTTAGCAAAGTACTTTCTGCTTTTTGGTGCACTGTACTATGGTTCTTTGTAAGATGCTCACATTAAATATTTTTCTATCAGGGCAACTTGGTCTACCCAAATATGGGCAGAAGCATACTGCTTCCACTTTGCCTTTCAGCCCCAATCCAGGAGCAGACAGTTGCTTTCGCAACGAAGTGTTTTGGGTTAAATTAATATTTATCCACAAAGAAATAAAGGGAGACTAGTATAGTTTTATTTCAAGTTATTTAGCTCTCAACAGCTAGCCATACCCTTCTGGGATTTGAAACCGGGCTGATTGCAAATTAGGTACATGTATTATCCTCTAAGCCATGGGTGCTCCTCACTTTGTCAACTTTACCAGGGAGGAGATTAAGTGTGTGTTTTTTTTAATCAGGGCAACCTAGCCTACCCAAATATGGGGTGGAGCATACTGCTTCTGCATTGCTTTCTACTGAAAACTGTTCAGAAGTTTGTCACAATGGCACATCACATAATATTTCACAAATAAAGAAAACAACAAGAATGTAAAAGTCCTTAGTTGTGATGAGAGATAGTACTAATTGTGATTAATCATGAAAAAACTAAGCAAGATCAGATATGGTTAGTTCTTGGACAACACATTCTCCATGAAATCTGAAGACTAAAGACCATGTTAGAAAGTTCTAAAAAATCGCCAAAGGCAATAGGTACCCATGTGTCCATGAAGTTATCAAGAGTCAACTCAGCTAACATTAGCTGAAGACACTAACCTTGATAGCCACCTGTAGAGGACTGGAATCTCCTGTGATTCCTACTACTGTTCCTTTGTAAACTTCACCAAATGCCCCATGTCCAAGTTCCCTAAAGGGAGGTAGAAACAAAAAACACACATTCAGTTCCTATGGACACTTCCTGTATGTACACCAAGTAAACACTTTTGACTACAAAAAGTTGAAAGATCGAGGAATTATTGGAAATGTGCATTATATTAGGATGTGAGTGTGTAAGTGTATATGTGTGTGTGTGTGTGTGTGTGTATACACACACACACACAACACAAATTAAGCATTGTTGATGAAACATACATGATAGCAGTAGCATTTCCCCACAAAACAATTGCTTGGATTTAGGGTTCTCTAACTGAACTCAGGTTTTCTTTCCTGCACCACAATTATAAGTGTGTGTCCAAATGCTAGCAAGAACACAATGCAGCTAAATCTTACTGAAGTAGAGAAATATTCTTTCGTGGAATCTCTTTAAGTTCACTGAGACTGGCCGTTTTTCCTGCAAAGCTGTAATTGGGGTTATAATCTGTCATGATGGTAGAAGTACGGATTTTGCTTAGGTTATAATCTGGATTCTGCAGATGGGCTCTGGTTCCTTCTAGCATCTTTTTCTTTCGATGATAAACTGAAAAGAAAACATGAATGAGAATCTGAGACAAAAAAAGAAGAAATTAAACCATGTGAACAACAGATATGACATTCCAGAACGCCTGTCTCAAATTTTTTTAGACTTCTTCTCTTCGTTAGTATTTTTAAATTGTGTTACTATATTTTTTGCAGAATTACAAGTTAGCTTTTTTAACTGATCAGGCAACATACAAATGTTTTTAGACTGTGACCTGGTTAAGAGCAGATACAGTCATATTGGTGAGAGGAATAACCCAATTCCTGAAATATTACACTTTTTAATGAGTTCTAATTCTACAGCAAGCTGTGGGATTCATGGTTGCTTAAGAAATTGGTATAATACGGTACAATGGCAGGCTTCAAAATACAAGCCTTTTCCTCTCAGGGTGAAGCAAAAAATTCAGGGAAAAAAACCCATTGTACTCAACATTTAGCCTTCGCAAACACAACTCTCAGGGGTGACTTAAAGGGGACTGTGAAGCAGATGGTGGATTAAATATACCACACAGAAATACATACATGGCTGCAAATGGATTTAAACATTAAGTAGCTCCTTTCAGAAGAAAAGTGTGTTTGCTTATTTAATCAGAAAGCTCTTCTAAAACATTTGCCTAGGCTTGAAAACCAAAGATGAGATTTTAACTACAGATGGACTGAATTATTTCCCTTACTCATCAAAAAAAGACTGTAAGATGAAAAACTCATCAGTGTGAAACATACAAAGACAGAAAGAGACACAGACACAAATATTATATATCACAGCTGTTGTCTTTCTGACGCCTATGGTTTTGAATGACATTCATCCCAAATGGAACAATAAAGCATCGCCTTGCTTCACTGGATATTTTATAATATTAAAATAAAGAACAAGGCAATTCTTTATCACCCACCGCATTATGCAATGAATAACTCCTCCTGGATCCAAATCAAAATGCATAGGTTACAAAACCAAGTATTTTGGCATATGAAAGAGGAAACCCTGTTTTATAATTATCATCTCTTACAATGAAAATATTGAAATTACAAAGTAAATAACTAGCCATTTTCTGTCCTTCCATGGTATTTAACATAGTGCTTTAAATACCCAACTCACTTGGCTAATGTTACAACTGTCTTATTCACACTAACAAACTGAGGACAAATCAGGAAACTTCACATGCTTTCAATTATTCCATTCCCTTGTTTCAAATAAAATGTTTAATATGTAAGTTATGTGTATCTTTGTTCAACCAATTTAGTGCTTTTTAGGAATCCTTTGTCCCTGATTACATTTTTTCAAATCTAGTAGTTCAATGAGACTGCAGCTCCATGTGAAAGCAAGCTGATCATGCTCCTTTGAAGTGTTCACCTTATTCTCCCACAAACAAAATTCTAACTTCTTCTATAGAAGAGGTTCCACAAATCTACAGTGCTGTTTAGAACCGTTTCCAGCTCCCTCCCCCTGCCCGTCCGCACATCATCAAGATGAAGAGCGAAAGGAGGAATTCTGGGAGTTGAAGTCCACAAGTCTTAAAGCTGTCAAGTTTGAACACCCCTAGTTTTTTCCTAAAGGGTTAAGGGTGCAAGGGTCTTGTAACTTGACAGCTTTAAGACTTGTGTGCTTCAAATGCCAGAGTTTCTGAGCTAACATTTTGGTTGCTAAGCAAGAGTGTTGTTAAGTGAGTTTCACCACATTTTACAAGTTGGCCATGCCCACCCAGTCACATGGCCAGCAAGCCACTCCCACAAAGCAGGCCACACCTACAGAAGAGGGTCTAAAAAATTTTGAAACCCACCACTGGGTGGATTCAAACTTGCTTTCAAACATGAAAAGAACTGAGATCCAGTGGGGACCTCTTGGTGATGGAGGGAGATAAATTGTTACATTCTGGTTCTTTTTGTGCGTTCTCTCCCACTATCTCCATTGTAGTTCTAATGGTCTTCTGAAGAAACTTTTCAAGAAGCCACAGCAATCTGCACAGGAAGGAAAAATCTGTCCCCCCCACCCCACCTCAACTCTCATCCTCCAACACAAACAAAACATTATTAAGTGCTAATCTGGAACCAAACCACAGTTTTATAGACTGTCTCTAGTTTTTCAACCTTCCTTCCCGAGATCCTACATAAATCCTTTAAAAAGGCCAGAGAGGTGAACACATGAATTCAGATATGCACAAAATATAGCAGATGCAACTTACCAATTGATAGGCTACCACAAGTGAGAATCATAACAAGCACCACAATCACAGCAATCACTGTCAAGAGGAATGGAAGAGGCAAGTGCTCTTCTGGAATGGGTTCCCGGATAACTAGACAAAACATGAGATGTAAGCATTTAAATTTCAGTTTAGGACTTTAAACAGGGTTTTTAATAAAGCCCAATCACTGGGTTAGAGCGAGAGTCTAGTCCAGCACTTCCTTTTCACCCTAACATCTAAGAAGAAGTTCATAAATAGAATGTGGACAATTCCTTGTGATAGAAAACTGAAAGAAGAAAGACTGGGGGCAAAAATGTGTTCCCAAATTACTAGATATAATGTAGAGAAAAAAGGATGGGCTGTAGGTGAACTAACAATAGTATAAATACATTTATAAATCAATTATAATAAATAATTGCTTATGTTATATTATTTTATAATAAATTAATAAGATTGGGTTTGTCTAGCTTAGGGAAAAGAAGGACTAGAGGTGACATGATAGCAGTGTTCCAATGGCTCTCACACAGAAGAGGGGGCAGCCTATTTTCCAAAGCACCAGAAACAAGACAAGAAACAATGGATGGAAACTAATCAAGGAGAGAAGCAAACTAGGAGACATTTCCTGACAGGGAGAACAATTAAGCAATGGAAAAGTTGCCTACAGAAGTTGTGGATGCTCCATCACAGGAGGTTTTTAAGAAAAGACTGGACAGCCACTTGACTGAAGTGGTATCAGGTCTCCTGCTTGAACAGGGAGTTGGACTAGAAGACCTCTAAGGTCCCTTCCAACCGGCAGGGCTGGCAAGAAAAGGGGTGGGAAGGGAGGGAAAGGGGAGGCAGTATTACAGCAAGGCAGCTGGTGAGTCCTGCCCAGGAGGTGTTGGTCTAACCAAATATCAAAATTTGCCTCTTCCATTAAAAGCAGTGGTTGGTTGCTTTTTTCCTACTGGCAGGTACTATAATGATACTATAAGAGTTCAATAATTTCTTCCCTTAAATATTCCAGATTAAAGCTTTGAGGAGAGCACTCATAGCTATCCTGGTTGCAAGGACAAACAAGCTTAGTCTCCGGGTCGTGGGTTCGAGCCCCACATTAGGAATGTCAGCGTTCCAAATATCATGCAGAATCAGAGTCCAAGGCAGAGCTATCCATAGCCGTTGCCAACATGTCTTTTTAAATTGGAACTTTAAGGATAGCTCTGCCTTGGACTCTGATTTAATTCTGCATGATATTTGGAACGCTGACACTTAGCAATAGACCAGTGAAAAATACAGCAGCATATTTTAATGCTGCTTCAGGGACTGGAGAAAAGCATGTAATGCAAAAATTACGAACAGCCCGTAGTTAACCTCACTGTTCACCCCCAAATCCTGGGGAGTTTAGTTCAATGGGATTGTCAAGGGATCTTTAAACTACATAGTTTTACCACACATTTTTAAATAAATATAGTAAACATCTATTTGCTATTAATACTTGTTACTTTTAAAACTTAGATGCTACCTCTTCAGAGTCACAAGTAGCTTATAACAATTAGAACGCAACAATACAGAATCACACACTCTCTCAGTCCAATTCACCTCACAGGGTTTGTTTTTGTGGGGAAAATAGGAGGAGGAAGGTGTGCTGCAGAGGTGGGTTCCGGTAGAGACTACTGCTGGTTCGCTTAGGGACGTGTTGTGAGCGCATGTGCAGTACAACTAAAATTGCTCTGCGCATGCGCAGAAGCAAAAAACAAGATGGCACCACCTCTGGTGCCGCCAGGAGAACTGCCACTTCCAGCGACCCAGTCCACCAAACTACTGGTCCGAACCAGTAAGAACCCACCACTGGTGTGCTGGATATATTCACTGCCTTGAGTTATTTGTAAAAAATAATAAAGGTGGTTATAAATTTAAAAATAAAGTCATTTGTTGAGATAACATTCTATTTAAATTAAATTAATTGATAATAAATAAACGCATACAACAAACCATAAATAAAACAAAATGAATAGTTTAATGTATAATTTTAGAGGCATTCCTTAGGAAAAAAGATGACTGGTTATTGTGTCTTTGATCTGATAGTGGTGAATCTTGGGGAAAGCAAGAAATAGAACATTTTATTTGCAAACCCTTTTTCATATTTTACCTGTGCAGGAAACGTTGTCATTAGCCAAGATGGCCCCCGCTGAACAAATACAGACAGGTAAGTGACTGCCAGGCTCTTGTTTGCAGATACCTGACTGACAATGGCTGCAATTCACATAGACTTCAATGACTACTTCACCGTGACTTTCCATAACTAAAGGAGGAAAAGAAGGAAAGGATGGAAATTATAGTTCAAATATTTCTGAAAAGCACATCTCTAAAAAGGGGTACAGGTTTAATATGCTAAGAAACAAGGGACATTTCCTCAGTAGATTTTCTATCTGATAAATAATAAGGGCACATCTTGAAAGCTACAGAAGAATATTTTTTCAATGCAGAACTAACAACTATGGTAGGCAAACACATTCGCTTTGATTACTGACTATGTAAGCTATCAATCAGTAGAACAGGCTGCCACATGGTGGGGTGAGTTCTCTTTATTTAAAAATTGTCAAACAGAGAGAGGTTGGTCATCTGTCACAGATGCTTTAGTATAATGTTGCTCAACCTCAGGATTGTAAAGATGTATGAATTTCAGCTCCCAGAATTTCTTAGCCAACATGCCATACTGGCTTTCTGTGATTTCAATGGGGGGGGGGGGAATGCTTGTGGCCTCTTAAACATAAACATATTAATTACAGCAGTACATTTCATTAACTGAAGAGCATTCTAAAGTAGATTCTAATTGAAAATTTTCATGCCATACACAAATCTTTTAGTCATTTAAGTATGGAGTTCTACCTTACTTTGATTAAATCAAAAATGTATTTTTTCAACCTATTTACTATGGAAAATAATTCCAATTATGGAATATTCCTGCATGCCAGCACTTGCCACATTGGCACAAACTGCATAAGCAGCTTCTGGGGTGACTGAATTTGAGCGTCAAGCATGCTGCGACATATTAATGTGTCAGAAGAACTGAAAGCATTTTTAATCTGTTTGGATAATGCCATAAAAAATGATTCCATTATATTGATACAAGTAGATATAAGTAGAGTTCACAGATAAATGGCATCATTCTTATGTGGTGTTGAATCTCTGTACTTCCCCTAATCTCCCTAATCCTCCTTTAGTTCTAAAAGTTGATACAAAAGTAACATGTGAATAGATCAATATACTTGAGGGATAAGATAAATGATAGTCCCAGATGTGGAACTACATCTGACCTGCCAGAGGGCTCAAGAAGATCTCCCCCATTGGATTTACAAAGGATTCCCCATACTGCCCATCAGCTGTAATGTCATCTGTTTCAGAAGCATGTCCACCTACAAAAAAAAAACAAATATTTTTCAGGCTACAGGGATCTGTAGCTTGTCTACTTGCCAAGTGATCCAAACTAAAATATTTAAATTTCACTCTTTGTACTGAGATCACACTGCTGTTCTTTTTTTCTCCTGAAATTTGCTGGAAATTGTTTTTATTCTATGGTTCGGAATAGATTTTAGTAGAATGTTGTCTCTTCATTCTAAATGTACTATTTGAGTTCCTGGACAAATGTGGCACTACATATTTAGTTTTGCTACACCCTCAAATTTTTTATGGGTTTGGTTTTCTCAAATGATAAAACATTACTGGGAATATGTTCCTAACAGTTTATCAGAAATGGAAAATACATTGGCTATGAATGCAAGTACACACTATTTGCTTCGGCACTATCAATGATGAGAACTAAATTGTTCAGATAGCTAATGTTACGCAGGTTAATAAGTTAATATGAAATCATGTTTTCTAGATATAACATTCTCCATTTCTTTTTACTTTGGATTCCTTGGACATGGGGCAACACAATAATTTTGGAAAAAAAATGAAGGTTCAACTTGATATAAGCTACGTTTTATACCTTTGTAGCCTCCTCCTCCTCCACCAGATGTACAAGCTCCTCCACCACCACCAAAACCACCAGAAGTGGCCCACTGGAGTTTCTCTAATGCTTGTTGGCAGGCCTCACCACCTTCTCCACCTTCCAGAAGTGATTTTCCAGCCCAGGGAAACTGGGTAATATCTTCCCAACCACCACCTCCACCTGTACAATGTGAAGAGAAAGATAATGATATAAACAGGTAGAAATTGCACATCAATTAGAACTCACCAATAGATACAAATACATATATTTTAATAAACATTAATGTAAGCATCTATAAGCTATTTCCAATATTTTGCTATTGGACAATTTCTGTGCTATAAATTATGGGGTTCCATTTGTTGGAGAACTACAAGTCTATATCTATATCTATATCTATATCTATATCTATATCTATATCTATATCTATATCTATATCTATATCTATATCTATATCTATATCTATATCT